TTTGATCCCAGTCAACAGATTTATAAAATAATGTTTATGATTTATGTTATTGAAAAATCGTATTATAAGCAGATTAGAACTATAGCAGAGATGGTTTTAAGCCTAGAAGTTGTATCCGCTATAGCTGCTTTGAATTGAAGATGATAGAAATCAAAATTACGTCGCTAACAAAATTAGGTGTGTACAAAGTACAGTGCAGTCTCTTCCTCGAGACAAGTTCAAATGCTAGACGTCCAGAACGTATTTTCTATGAGAACTGGGAATTGAGACGATGGACTTATTCTAAGCAGCGGCGTGCGGTGACAATTATAGGCGGGGAAGCGAATCGGTAAAAAACCCTATTTCGAGACATTACTTGTACATTTTCTTAAAAAACGTACCTTTGAAAATTCCGAGGCCAATTTCCTTGTTCGATTAAAATTCTATCGAAAATTGTTAAACGAACAAAAACGCATAAAGTTATAATAGTTAAAATACGATATTTTAAATTAATTTTCCGAAGCACTTGACGCGCGATAGGCATCTATTTGTATTTGAGGTCTACTCCTTTCATCAGCCATTGCAAATTTGTCTATAACATCATCATAAAATCTTGGATTTTCCGTTAATTGTTTTACGCGCTGTTTCTCTATTGCTAACACGGCTAAATTTGAAAGTCTGTCTTCGCTTGTTGAATTTCCCTGTCCTTCTGGACTCTCCATTACAAACGAAACACTAAACACTAAGTTAAATCCGAAAAAATACTATATTACCTATAAAATCGCAAGCGAACCCGTCCCGATAAATTAAGTCGCGGAAGGCGGCCGAAAGATCGCTGCCGTGGCTAGCGACTGTGCGCGATTTTTCGGCTTAAATTTATCGTTTGCGTTCGAGGTCAATAACATTTACATAAAGGAAGGATAGGCGACCGGCGGCGATTTCCAGACACGCATCCATGCAGTAAAAGCCTAATTAAATTTACTACATTTATGTAAGGTTTCAAATAAATAATTTTAACAAATTAAATTAATCTTTTGTTATAAAATAACAGTATTATTAACGTTTTATCTTTAAAAAGTTTAGGGAAGCGGCTCTTCCCCTGCTTCCATGGACCGCACGCCGCTGATTGTGAGTTTATCGCTAAAAAACCGCCGTTTGTCAGCTTTTCAAATTTATAACGAATCGCACCTAAGGAACGTACATGTAAATTTAGAACGGATAACTGTAAGAAGAAAATTAAACGAAGCAAATTTTATCAAGAAGGCCTGCTTCAGAACCACAACTTACTAGGTCTGTTGACTAGGACCAAAAGGAATGGTTTTAATGTAAAAATTACGAAAAAATGTTAGTGCCTTCTTCAAAAGCGAATATCTCCAAAAAAAATAATGCTATTGAGGTGAACTAGAAAACAAACTATCCAGAAAGGATGTACCTAGTTGATAAAACGATTCTTAAATTCCTTACTGTCTTAACATATTTGACAGGGTGTTTCAAACTTTCACCAAAATATCCACATTTTATTTTCCCTCGTATAATTATGGACAGAAGGGAACTTTTGTTTTTAATTTGTATAGAGGTATTAAAAATCATTTTAAATTTAGAAAAATATTTTAATTCATAGAGAAAACTACTGAAGCGTGGTAGTTGACAAATTTGAAAAGATTAAGGTTGATTTAACCTCGCAGTTATTTAATTTTGTTTGTTCTGTCTTTTTTTATAAACCGCAATTGAAAAAAATGTAGGCACCAACAAAATTAAATTCAATTTTAAACTGTACAAAATTTTGTAGTACTCAGTTAGATTTCATTAAATTAAACTTGAAATTATTGATCTCATATATAATGGTTGTATAATAAGGTGTCTTCAATTGTCTAGTAAACTATAGCAGTAAATTTAAAGAAAATATGTAACAATACGTGAAAATATATAAAAGGGATTTTTTGAAAAAAAATTGGTAAGTAATGTGATTTAGTTTCGACTTAAGATTTCCGATTAACAATATAAAAAAAATAATTGAGACACTGAACCAATTTTGAATACAATACAGGGTGTCCCAGAAATAAGTGCAAGTATTTTAAGTGGTGGTAGATATCGATATAAGAAACATATTTTCTCTTTATCGTTTTTCAAATAAGTCCAAAATAACGGAGTTATGTTACTTTGAAAATTTCCAAAAAAAAATGATTTTTTGCTAAAACTTTGAGAACCACTGGATCTTTTTTGAATTTTCTTTCTTGTAAATTTAATCTAATACCTATGTTGCCATATTATCAAAAAATTATGTTTTTAACTAAAAACTAAAAAAAATTCCAAAATTTTTTCCAAAAAATTTCGAATTTCCAAATTTTTTTTTTGTGAAAAAAACCTCATTTCTGCGATTGAAGTATACTATCAGTAAAAATACTTGCACTTATTCCTGGGACACCTTGTATAATGTTAGTTAGTTTTGAAATATAATGTCAACTACAGTACATGTATAAAAAATGTTATTTATATACAGGGTTGTTCACCACATACGATACGGAGTATTGTAGCTAAACGATTAGATTTTTACAAATTGTAAGTTTGGGGTTCGTTGAAGGACTATTAGAGCTACAATTTAAAAATATTTTTACAAGATACAGAGTGTCCCAAATAAATAAAAAATATCAAAGTTGTATTTGTTTAAATGGAACACCCTGTATATTATTACATTTTTAGTTTCTACGATTAAAATAAAGGTAAATTTGATTAAAGTTTATTATACTTAAACCTTACCGTTTTTGAAATATTTTCAATTTTGTGAAATTGCAGTAAAATTTTTAAAGCTTCATTTCTCCAAAGGTATCAATGTTTTTAATACTAAATATTTAATGAAGTTTATTTATTGATCAGTTATTGTGTTGCAATAATAAAAATAATACTACCTTATACAGAGTGTCTAAAAAATTATTTTAAATAATTATTAGCTTCAAACGGCAATAACTTCTTTAATTTAAATGGAATGCCCTGTATATTTTAGGAGAATCAGATGCACAATTAAATTGTCTATCAAATTGTATTATACCATTTTTTACCTATCCCTTCAAGTTTTCGTATAAAATGCATTTTCTTATAATTTAGACCTCATTTATCAATATATCAATGGAATATTGACATTTTAGATTGTTTTTAAAGCAACAAATGTACAAAATGTACAGACTAGTAATATTATCGTTTTTAGCAAAACGATAATATTACTAGCCCATTTGTATGCAAAAAGAAAACTATTTAAATCTTTATAAAAGAGTATACCATTAATTAAATATAACACCATTATTTGCGCCCATATACTAATTAATTACATACTTAATTGTGTTCGTTATTAAATTATTATAAATAAATGTGGATTTGAGTCAGAAATCAATATAATAATAAGTTATCAAATTAAAGTCTCTGTAGTTATAAATAAGCATTTATTAAAAAATGAAATATCATTTTTAAGGTGTTACTTTTTATCACACTGTCTAATGCCCATACAAAATTCAGTTTTTTAGTATTTGGAGCAATTATTATTAATCAAAGCAAACAGTCAGTTAATGTTGTTTGAATACTGGAATCATATTAACTGATCCTCTTTAACAAATATTTAAACAGTTTTTTTTTTATTTTTTAATGAAATAAACGAATTATATCGACAATATTAGTATCTGTACTCTTTAAAAATTTGGTACATCTTTAAAAATAATTTAACATGTCAATAGTCCATGGGTATATTGATAAATAAGTTTTAAATTACAAGAAAATGCATTTTCTACGGAAACTTAAAGAGATAGGTAAAAAATGGTATAATATAATTTGATAGACAATTAAATTGTGCATCTGATTCTCGTAAAATATAGAGGGTGTTCCATTTAAATTAAACAAGTTATTGCCGTTTGAAGCTAATAATTATTTAAAATAAATTTTTAGACACTCTGTATAAGGTAGTATTATTATTGCAACACAATAACTGATCAGTAAATAAAGCTTAATCAAATTTACCTTTATTTTAATCGTAGAAACTAAAAATATAATAATATACAGGGTGTTCCATTTAAAAAAATACAACTTTGATATTTTTTACTTATTTAGGACACTCTGTATCTTGTAAAATTATTTTTAAATTGTACCTCTAATAGTCCTTCATCGATCCCAAAACTTACAATTTGTAAAAGTCTCATCGTTTAGCTACAATACTCCGTGTCGTATGTGGTGAACAACCCTGTATATCTATCTCATTATTTTTATTTTAACTCACGACATCTTAGAGAGGTTGTCATAGTAACTAGATTGGCTAGAAAATTGATCACTTGATGGCTGTCAAATGACATTTAAGCCCGTGTCAAAAAAATAGATTTTTTTAAGTTAGAACTTTCAAATTTTCCTCTGTATTTTCCCAGAATTTATTTGTTTGAACCTTGTTTGAACCCTTTTTCAAATAATAGAGATGATAAGTCAAGTTGCAAAACGTTATCAATTTAAAAAAAATGGCCTAATGACATATATTAATAGTGGACTCTGAAATCTACATAAACATTTTTTTCTTTAAAAATTAAATATTAATTTTTATTTTTAGAAAAACCAGATAAAAAACAATGATTCCACTCAATGGGCACGTTTTTTCTTGTAAAACAATGCTTCAAACATTTGCTAAAATAGTTTTTGCATATTATCTCGAAACAACGTTTTTGGGATAAGACGCGTTTTGCAACTTGACTCTCCATATTCACATAAAGAAATAAACCATAAATAAATACAAAAATAATGTAAACAGATAAATAAATAAAGAACTCAACTCATAAATCTGATATAAAACTTTTTCTAGTCATTTATAGAGAAATTAAAGCCCCTATTACAAGTGATATACAGGGTGTCCCATATAAGACTGTACACTACACGAATATCGTAAACCAGGGGTTATAAAAAGATGATAAAAGTGGCGTCTTGGCTACAAAGTCTTGGTTTGGGACAACTTGTATAACATGATTTAAAAAAAATAACCTCATTATTTGACAATGTTAATAAAACATCACCTACTTCTGTCATATTTTTTTTATTATGCATAAAGAAATAACTAAGTTTACAGCTATATTACTTAGTACTCCACCACCATCCAGGGGGTATGTGTTAACATTTTTCATATAATTATAACAAATTTTTAATCAAAAATGCACATTTTATTAAATTTTTTAGCTGAAATTTACGATGGGTGTACCTCAACAAAAATTATTTGCTAGTATGTCCCATTTGAACAAAATTTTACCAGAAGACCGAGGAGATTGTGATATTGAAAATGTGGCAGATTTTTATAATAACGCTAAAATTTTCGTCACAGGGGCTACAGGTATGTACTAGTAAAAATTATAAAGATAATATTAAATTATTTCAGATAAAATATTGTTAGTATTTCATTAATATTATGGTTAAAATAATTTTGCAAGAAGATATAATTCCTATAAAGGGATATCGTTTTTTAGGATTTCTTGGTAAAGCCCTGCTAGAGAAGTTGCTGAGGTCTTGTGACAAAATTGACGCAATATTTCTGTTAATGAGACCTAAGAAGGGAGTGGCAGTAGAACAGCGGCTTAAAGATTTACTAAAAAACTCGGTTTGTATAAAATTTAATATTATACACCCAGATGCAAAAAAAACGGATTTTTTTTTGTCAAGTTTAAAATTTATCTTTTTTTATTTTTAGCCCTATTTCCTTGTTTTTTTAGCAAACTGTATATAAATTTATCAACTTTAATTTGTAAACTCAATTTATTATAAAGGGTATAGCCGGATTGATATGGTCGAATCAAAATAATTTACCTAAATTTTTAGCTCTTTAACTCAAACGGTTTTCGAGATTTTCAAAAAAAATCTGTTTTTTCAATTTTATTTTTATAGTAAAATTCAAAATTAATTAATGATGATTTTTTTCTAAATCTTAGTAGTATATGATATGAAAAAATAATATGGTCATGATTCTTAAACGAAAAGCCCATTTTTAGCACACGAAAGAAAATTAAAATCTTCATTTTTTTAAACTTTGCGAAATATGTCACTCACTAAAAATCGTCAGAAAATGTGTTTTATACTGTACTTAATGAATAGTGCTTTCCATAAAATGAATAGAATGAAAACTATACGAAATAATATACATGTACTGATTTCTTTCGAAAATCGGCAACTATGAAACTATGATCCCTTTCCCGACATAAACGGTACATTGTGAGACAGAAAATTGTAGAGAGAAACAAGCCCTATAACATAGGATATAGGATACAACATTTTAATGAACACTGGTTTCCACAAAATCAATAAAATGAAAAATATACGAAATAATATACATGTACTGATTTCTTTCGAAAATAGACAACTATGAAACTATGATCCCTTTCCGGACACAAATGGTAAATTGTGAGAGAGGAAATTGTAGAGAGAAACAAACCATATAACATAGGATACAACATTTTAATGAACAGTGCTTTCCATAAAATGAATAAAATAAAAAATATACGAAATAATATACATGCACTGATGTCTTTCGAAAATCGACAAACTAAACCAAACTATGAAACTATGATCCCTTCCCCGACACAAACGGTACATTGTGAGACAGAAAATTGTAGAGAGAAACAAGCCCTATAACATAGGATACAACATTTTAATGAACAGTGCTTTCCATAAAATCAATAATATGAAACTATGATCCCTTCTCGAGAATCGACAACTATGAAACTATGATCCCTTCCCCGACACAAACGGTACATTGTGAGACAGGAAATTGTAGAGAGAAACAAGCCCTATAACATAGGATACATCATTTTAATGATTAGTGCTTTCCATAAAATGAATAAAATGAAAAATATACGAAATAAAATACATGTACTGATTTCTTTCTAAAATCGACAACTATGAAACTATGATCCCTTCCCCGACACAAACGGTACATTGTGAGACAGGAAATTGTAGAGAGAAACAAGCCCTATAACATAGGATACAACATTTTAATGATTAGTGCTTTCCATAAAATGAATAAAATGAAAAATATACGAAATAAAATACATGTACTGATTTCTTTCGAAAATCGACAACTATGAAACTATGAACCCTTCCGGAACACAAACGGTACATTGTGAGACAGGAAATTGTAGAGAGAAACAAGCCCTATAACATAAGATACAACATTTTAATGATTAGTGCTTTCCATAAAATCAATAAAATGAAAAATATACGAAATAATATACATGTACTGATTTCTTTCGAAAATCGACAACTATGAAACTATGATCGCTTCCCGGACACAAACGGTACATTGTTAGACAGGAAATTGTAGAGAGAAAGCCCTGTAACATAGGATACAACATTTTAATGATTAGTGCTTTCCATAAAATCAATAAAATGAAAAATATACGAAATAATATACATGTACTGATTTCTTTCGAAAATCGGCAACTATGAAACTAAGATCCCTTCCGGGACACAAACGGTACATTGTGAGACAGGAAATTGTAGAGAGAAACAAGCCCTATAACATAGGATACAACATTTTAATGAACAGTGCTTTCCATAAAATGAATGAAATGAAAAATATACGAAATAATATGCATGTACTGATTTCTTTCGAAAATCGACAACTATGAAACTATGATCCCTTCCCCGACACAAACGGTACATTGTGAGACAGGAAATTGTAGAGAGAAACAAGCCCTATAACATAGGATATAGGATACAACATTTTAATGAACACTGGTTTCCACAAAATCAATAAAATGAAAAATATACGAAATAATATACATGTACTGATTTCTTTCGAAAATAGACAACTATGAAACTATGATCCCTTTCCGGACACAAATGGTAAATTGTGAGAGAGGAAATTGTAGAGAAAAACAAACCATATAACATAGGATACAACATTTTTAATGAACAGTGCTTTCCATAAAATGAATAAAATAAAAAATATACGAAATAATATACATGCACTGATGTCTTTCGAAAATCGACAAACTAAACCAAACTATGAAACTATGATCCCTTCCCCGACACAAACGGTACATTGTGAGACAGAAAATTGTAGAGAGAAACAAGCCCTATAACATAGGATACAACATTTTAATGAACAGTGCTTTCCATAAAATCAATAATATGAAACTATGATCCCTTCTCGGGAATCGGCAACTATGAAACTATGATCCCTTCTCGGACACAAACGGTACATTGTGAGACAGGAAATTGTAGAGAGAAACAAGCCCTATAACATAGGATACAGCATTTTAATGATTAGTGCTTTCCATAAAATCAATAAAATGAAAAATATACGAAATAATATACATGTACTGATTTCTTTCGAAAATCGACAACTATGAAACTATGATCGCTTCCCGGACACAAACGGTACATTGTTAGACAGGAAATTGTAGAGAGAAACAAGCCCTATAACATAGGATACAACATTTTAATGATTAGTGCTTTCCATAAAATCAATAAAATGAAAAATATACGAAATAATATACATGTACTGATTTCTTTCGAAAATCGACAACTATGAAACTATGAACCCTTCCGGAACACAAACGGTACATTGTGAGACAGGAAATTGTAGAGAGAAACAAGCCCTATAACATAAGATACAACATTTTAATGATTAGTGCTTTCCATAAAATCAATAAAATGAAAAATATACGAAATAATATACATGTACTGATTTCTTTCGAAAATCGACAACTATGAAACTATGATCGCTTCCCGGACACAAACGGTACATTGTTAGACAGGAAATTGTAGAGAGAAACAAGCCCTGTAACATAGGATACAACATTTTAATGATTAGTGCTTTCCATAAAATCAATAAAATGAAAAATATACGAAATAATATACATGTACTGATTTCTTTCGAAAATCGGCAACTATGAAACTAAGATCCCTTCCGGGACACAAACGGTACATTGTGAGACAGGAAATTGTAGAGAGAAACAAGCCCTATAACATAGGATACAACATTTTAATGAACAGTGCTTTCCATAAAATGAATGAAATGAAAAATATACGAAATAATATGCATGTACTGATTTCTTTCGAAAATCGACAACTATGAAACTATGATCCCTTCCCCGACACAAACGGTACATTGTGAGACAGGAAATTGTAGAGAGAAACAAGCCCTATAACATAGGATATAGGATACAACATTTTAATGAACACTGGTTTCCACAAAATCAATAAAATGAAAAATATACGAAATAATATACATGTACTGATTTCTTTCGAAAATAGACAACTATGAAACTATGATCCCTTTCCGGACACAAATGGTAAATTGTGAGAGAGGAAATTGTAGAGAAAGAAACAAACCATATAACATAGGATACAACATTTTAATGAACAGTGCTTTCCATAAAATGAATAAAATAAAAATATACGAAATAATATACATGCACTGATGTCTTTCGAAAATCGACAAACTAAACCAAACTATGAAACTATGATCCCTTCCCCGACACAAACGGTACATTGTGAGACAGAAAATTGTAGAGAGAAACAAGCCCTATAACATAGGATACAACATTTTAATGAACAGTGCTTTCCATAAAATCAATAATATGAAACTATGATCCCTTCTCGGGAATCGGCAACTATGAAACTATGATCCTTCTCGGACACAAACGGTACATTGTGAGACAGGAAATTGTAGAGAGAAACAAGCCCTATAACATAGGATACAGCATTTTAATGATTAGTGCTTTCCATAAAATCAATAAAATGAAAAATAACGAAATAATATACATGTACTGATTTCTTTGGAAAATCGACAATTATGAAACTATGAACCCTTCCCGGACACAAGCGGTACATTGTGAGACAGAAAATTGTAGAGAGAAACAAGCCCTATAACATAGGATACAACATTTTAATGAACAGTGCTTTCCATAAAATCAATAAAATGAGAAATATACGAAATAACATACATGTACTGGTTTCTTTCGAAAATCGACAACAATGAAACTATGAACCCTTCCCGGACACAAACGGTACATTGTAAGACATGAAATTGTAGAGAGAAACAAGCCCTATAACATAGGATATAACATTTTAATGAACAGTGCTTTCCATAAAATCAATAAAATGAGAAATATACGAAATAATATACATGTACTGATTTCTTTCGAAAATCGACAACTATGAAACTATGATCGCTTCCCGGACACAAACGGTACATTGTTAGACAGGAAATTGTAGAGAGAAACAAGCCCTGTAACATAGGATACAACATTTTAATGATTAGTGCTTTCCATAAAATCAATAAAATGAAAAATATACGAAATAATATACATGTACTGATTTCTTTCGAAAATCGGCAACTATGAAACTAAGATCCCTTCCGGGACACAAACGGTACATTGTGAGACAGGAAATTGTAGAGAGAAACAAGCCCTATAACATAGGATACAACATTTTAATGAACAGTGCTTTCCATAAAATGAATGAAATGAAAAATATACGAAATAATATGCATGTACTGATTTCTTTCGAAAATCGACAACTATGAAACTATGATCCCTTCCCCGACACAAACGGTACATTGTGAGACAGGAAATTGTAGAGAGAAACAAGCCCTATAACATAGGATACAACATTTTAATGAACAGTGCTTTCCATAAAATGACTTTGACTCAGGATTTTTTTAGAATTTTTTGAAGTGGTAGAACAAACAATATGAAAAAAAAATAAAAACTAATTTTTTTAAATCTTCTTTTTTAACTAACTTATATTTTTGTTTAGTTTAAAAAAGTGCGTAGAAAATATTTTTTCATTAAAAATACATCATTGCCAGAAATAAATATAAGGATTATTATAAAAAAAATGAAGATATATTATTATTTATTCAGTTTAACGTGAATTTTTCAAAAACTCAGTTTTTGCGTAATCATTGCGTAGCAATATCATTGAAAATGTGTAATAAGCAATATCATTGTGAATTTGAAGTAAAAAAATATTTTCTACGCACTTTTTTAAACTAAAAAAATATAAGTCAGTTAAAACGTTAAAACAGAAGATTTTAGAAAAAAAAAGTGAGTTTTTAATTTTTTTCATATTGTTCCACCACTTCAAAAAATTCTAAAAAATTCCTGAGTGTAAAGAAGTATAAAAGACATTTTATGACGATTTTTAGTGAGTGACATATATTTCACAAAGGTAAAAAAAATAAAGATTTTAATTTTCTTTCCTTCACTAAAAATCGGCTTTTCGTTTAAGAATCATGATCATATTATTTTTTCATGTCTTAGACTTCTAAAAATTATAAAAAAATCGTCATTAATTAGATTTTAATTTTATTATAAAAATAAAAATGAAAAAACAGGTTTTTTTGAAAATCTCGAAAACCGTTTGAGTTAAAGAGCTAAAAATTTAGGTGAATTCTTTTGATTCGACACCAAATCGATCCCCTGAGTGCGATTCAAAAAAGCCGCGGGGGTAGATTTCCCATATTAATCCGGCTATAGCCTTTTAAAGTATTTGCTTATTATACAGGGTTAAACGAATAGTTATTTTTTTACCTTATCTTTAAAACACCCTGTGCGATGTTCCTAAAAAAATATTTTTCGGTCAGAACTATGTTTCCTGAATATCTTGTTTTTTCATTCCTGTCAACACATGCCTTGGTTAATTTTTATTACCGGCTCCAGACCAATGCGACAAAAACTAAACACGATTATCAGACAAAAACAAGTCAAAGTTGCGACAAAAAATGGGGCATTCTGACAAGACAAACTTGAGTCAAATTGTCCACACCGCAAGGACAAAAGTACAACAAAGTCAAAAGTTTGTTGTTGCAAATGAGTTTTATTAACCATGTGTGATTTCACTAGTCTCCTACTGTTGACAGCACACGCCAACCACAACTTGTCGTAAAATATGCGAACAAAACATAGACACTTTGATATTTACCGACTCGAGACGGGACATTGAAAAGTCTCCGAATTTTGAAACAAAACAAAAATGAAACAAAAATGTCGCAGAAATGTATTGGATTTGTCGCAATTTTGTCGTAAAACATGAATGTTTCTGTCTGCTTGGTCTGGACTCGGCATAAGATCCAAATGAACTTGTCACAAACATTTTCCAATTTTTTCAATTACCGTTACTTTTTGATGTTATTCTTCATAATGACGAGGTGGCTTTTTTCTGATTTTTAGGTATTCAATAAGATTAGAGAAAAAAATTCGGATGTCTTTGAAAAAGTGAAAGTGATTCCAGGCGATGTAGGTTTATCTAATTTAGGCTTGTCCGATCAGGATCTGGCATTCCTTATCGATAAGGTCAATGTGGTATTCCATTCGGCAGCTACCGTCAAGTAAGCTTTTATTTTCATGGCTTTTTATATGTTTTTTTTAATTCTCTCTAAACCGGTGTGAAAATTTAGAAAAGTATAAATAGTCCAAGATCCCAGAGCGATCAGACATAACTTATTCTCACAAGGATGAAACCTTAGGCTCTTAGTAGTGCTCTCATGTGCTTTCGCTTGTGCACAGGGCAAACCCCATAAACACGCAGGTATTCAAAGCACATGAGAGCACTACTGAGAGCCTAAGGTTTTTAGCCTAAGTTTCATCCTTGTGCAATCTTCACCTGATTTTCGATGCCAAAGATAAGGGTACTTTTCGATCTGCTGCCTGGAGAAGAGACTACAATCCAGACCTCTGCTTTGTTACTAGTAACCATAAGGGCGTTCCATTGCCAGTCGAAAGAAAAGTTGCCGGTGACTTCCCCCACAGCCAACATAGACCAGTGATCCTGAATGTGGGTGTATCAATCCCTGTGGTCAGATCCACACCTCGTCCAAACCAATATGCACAAAAATTAGAGCAATGTATCCGCTTTATACCACCTGAACCAGAAAACTATAATCGTTTCATCGGGGCAGTAATTTCAGCAGCGAATAAATACATTCCTAGGGGGTATATAAAAGAATACATACCGGGCTGGAACGAATACAGTGAACATCTATACGAGGAATTCAAAGAGAGCGGAGATCAAGAAGTTGCAGATAACTTCCTCCATAGTCTAGACACTGCTAGAAGAAACAGCCGGATTGAAACAGTGGAAAACACAGACTTCCATCGATCTAGTACGAAGGCCTGGACCCTTCTACTTAATTTAGGAGGTTCAACAAGACAAAATAGGCCAAGCTCTCAAATATCAGCTAATCAAATTGCAAATTATATAGCTGAGACATCTAGGTCTCGACGTGATAAGGAGCACACAATTGAGATTAAAAGGAAATTGAAGGAGTTAAGAACAACCACTCCCCATATCTCGGAATATTCACAGCCCTTCGAAGCAAAATAAAAACACTAAATCACCACAATACACCAAAACACTTTTACTTTTACACTGGACGCGCGTTTCGCTAACCATGTTAGCATCATCAGCAGAGACAAAAACAGTTTATAATCATCTGCTGATGATGCTAACATGGTTAGCGAAACGCGCGTCCAGTGTAAAAGTGTTTTGGTGTATTGTGGTGATTTAGTGTTTTTATTTTGCTGTGTAACACCAAAGGTTCCAACCCTCAACTGTAAGCCCTTCGAAATTGAAGACATAGTCACAGCTATTAAAGACATCAAGCCGAACAAAGCTCCTGGATATGACAACATTCATCCAGAATTCCTTATTTACGCTGGAAAACCTGCCCTCAATTGGCTTTGTAGTTTCTTCTCGAGAATTTTATCAACCGGCAACATTCCAAAGGAATTAAAGAAAACTAAAATAATAGCTGTGTTAAAACCAGGAATATCTAAAGATCAACCTCAGAATTATCGACCCATAGCCCTTCTTAGTTGTACCTATAAGCTCCTAAAACGACTTATTTTCAATAGAATAAAGGATAGTATCTGAGACTATTATTATTAAAACCTCCATAGTTTTTGTCGATTTAACAGCTGCTTACGACACAGTCTGAAGAGATGGTATAGTTTATAAATTACTTAAAGCACTTTCTTGTCAAACTATAGCTCGAGTTATCAACAACATGCTTAGTAACCGGTATATCCAAGTATTTTAGGGAGAGAGCACAAGTAAACCTAAAAAAACTTAACAACGGCTTACCCCAAGGCTCCGTTCTCGCCCCTCTCTTATTCAACTTATACATCTCTGACCTACCAGATACGCAATCTAGAAAATTTTGTTACGCAGACGATATAGCCATAGCAACGGAACATGAATTGCTATATCGAACCCAAGAAACGCTTACAAAGGATCTCGCATCCTTGAATGCCTATTTTATAAAATGGAGATTTCAACCCAGTGCAAATAAAACAGAAGTGGCTACCTTCCATCTTAATAACAAGCTGGCGAATACTGAAATAAGCGTCCAGTTTGGTAACACCACTCTGCGTAATAACAAATATCCAAAATATCTGGGTATTACTCTAGACCGTACACCCTCATTTCAAAAACACATAGAAAATGATGCTCAGAACACGAAATCAGAACACGAAACAGCATTATACAAAAACTTTGTGGTACTTCTTGAGGTGCAAAAGCAACAACACTTCGGATCTCCGCCCTTGGTCTGGTATTCAGTGTGGCAGAGTATTGTGCACCCGTGTGGTTGAACAGCCACCACACAAATCTCGTAGACAGACAGCTGAACAACACCATGCAGCTGATTACAGGGACAATCAGATGCACACCTAGTTATTGGCTTTCAGTTCTGAGTAACATCCTACCTCCAAATCTACGCAGAAACGAGGCTCTTCTTAGAGAATTTGATAAAATAATAGCTACCCCAACGCTACCTGTTCATGAAACACTTCCTGCTTTACAGGTGAATAGACTTAAATCGAGGAATCCACCTTTGCGAACAGCTGAACAACTAAAAAGCAGTAACTACAATTCTCGAGAACAGTGGCTTCAGTTATGGAGAGAAATGGCCGATGCGCACCTATACTCCTGGTTCAAAAAATAACTATTGCCGGACACCGGGTACCGATTTAAACCGGAAAACATTGTCAACTTTGAATAGGATACGCTCTGGCCATGGAAGATGAGCGGATTCCCTTTATAAGTGGGGAAAAATACCTCCCCAGAATGTGATTGCGGATCCCCTCACCAAACCATCCATAACATAACTAGAGAGTGCAACCTACGCGCTTATGGTGAAGACTGGAGGGACTTTCTGGACGCTTCTCCATCAGCTTTGGAATGGATAGGGCATCTAGATGTTAATATATAGTGTTCGTAAATACGTTTTTTATGTTGTCTTTTTATAATATACTTGTTTTTTTTTTTTATATTTACATTGTAATGTTTTCATTTACATTGTAGTTTATTTTATGTCTATGTTTAAGTGTCTGGTTTTCTTGCATGTATATGAGTCATACGATAAGTAAATAAATAAACGTGAAAATAAGTTATATCAGATCGCTCTAAAACGGGATTAATCATTTTAGAACAAGCAAAAATTTTTATGAAGAATTATTTTTTCTCAAAATATCAATAATAAAAAAGGATTTCCTCTTGTAAAGACAATCCGGGGACATACTGTATAGCTAAACTATAATCATATTATTTTAGATTTAACGAGAAGCTTAAAAACGCAGTAATATTAAATACGTTGGGTACTAAGAGACTACTAGAAATATGTATAAAAATGAAAAATTTGAAGGTAATCATTACAATCCTATAATTTAACCTATCGATTGGCTCTTGATAATTTTTTTTGTGTGTTTTTCAGAGTTTTATTCATGTATCTACCGCATTTTCCAATGCAGAAAAACGAACAATCGAGGAACAAGTATACGTTCCATCTTTCGATGCTGAGACAATTATTAATTTGATTGAAAATCTACCCGATGAACTGATTGAAGCTATCTCGGATAAACTAGTGGTATATTGGAGCTCATTTGGTGCATTTCTGTAATTGTATTTACTTAAAAAAATGTTATTTTTTTTTAGGGAAAGCATCCGAACACGTATACGTTTACGAAAGCTTTAGCTGAACAATTAGTGTTACATTATTCAGCTAAAATACCTACAGCTATCGTCAGACCATCTATAAGTAAGCACAAATTGAACGATATTTACTGTTCTCCATTCACGCAGTTGTGCCGCTCTGAACTGTTCAAGAACGTGATACTCTCACTCCATTCAATTGAGTCATAAAGTTCAGAACTGTTCCGCGCCATATGGAGGCACCAGGGGCGCTATTCTGTACAATCGTCGGTATCGGTAAGTTACCGACAGCTATCGGTACGTACGGCCAATGAGCGTCGTCTTGATTGTTGTTGTCATAGTTACCGATGTTGTCATAGTTACCGATATACAAATACGTATCGAAAGCTGTCGTAACCATAAAATAATAAATACAAGAAGAAGTGTCAAGTCAATGTTAAATTATGGAAACAGCGTGGCTGCCTGGGTAACTAATTTTCAGATATGGCGGCTGGGACATTTGACATGACATAGACATGACAATTTCAATTTTATGAAATTTATTTCCGTTTCCGGTTTTTAATGGCGGGCTGTTCAGGAGGTTTAAATGAGGGTTAATATACTTTTTACTCTTTCTAGTAGTAAATAATACAACAAAATTACTGAAAAAATATTTATTTGGAATTTAGAACAATGTAAATATGCAAATCAACACAATTAAAGAGCTATAATCCAATAAACTACTGTATGAGTATCAAATATTTAAATAATATCAGAGATGCTGTGTTAAAGTGAATTAGTAAAGTAACAGTGCATTGACTTACAGAAACTTGAAGATAAATAAATGTTTTCACAGCTTCACGGGCATAAAACTAAATAACTGGAAGCAGGAAAAAGACAACCGGAACCCACACAAAACCTGAAATCAAAAAAAAAATATGTAAAAAACATAAATATAGGTACATAAGACTTTTGTGAATTAAATCAAACAGGACTTGAATGAAAATAAAATGAATAAAAAATATGATACATATACATTTAATACCTCATTTGTATATTAAAAATAATCTACATACATAGATTTATAGCATTATTGCTATGAAAATACATAATAGGTACCTATGTGATATGTAATTACGCATTTCTGTTCATCTTGTAGAAAATTAATGTAGGCTAATAATAGTTCAATAATCATAATTTACCTTGTATAACTTGCTTTCAATTGCTCAAAATCACCGATCAGTCTTTAAAGTAGAGATACGGAAAAATCCTTGGCAAAGAATATCCCAAGATCTTTGGGTTTAAAGCTAAAAAAATATAAAAACAGTTAATATATTACCTATTTATATATATAATATGGCCCATACCTACTACACGCAGAAACGTCGATTTCATCATTTTCTTCATGTAATTAATATCATATATACTTTATTAAAGTGTTAACAAGGAACTTTATATTAAAAAACATCTTTGTACTTATAAATTTCAGCCGAAATATCAGAAACAAACTTCCAATCAAATCTAAACAGCAAAAATTAAAATGGCGCCCGACCTTGCCAGAGGACTCGGGAGCTGACGCTGACACACAGACAAAAGACAAAAGAACAGGACGCCGACGTGCATAAAAATGTTCCGTAGCAGAAATTGACAGAAATCATATAGAAATATTCAGATTTTTGTCTAGGACAGTCTAGAAGGCCATGCTTTCTGCCTGGGTAGAACCGCGCCACAACTGTTTCCAATTTTCCGGTTTACTGTCACCCCCCTGGTCGTAACTTACCGATACCGACGGTTTTACAGAATAGCGCCTTAGGCTATCGCGCACAGCTCCTTTCAGAACCGTTCTGAGCAGCCCAGGGCGTAAAGCTCTGGAACTTGAAATTCGCGAATGGAGGACAGCAAATGTCCTTTATTATCTGACAATTATTATTATCCTAATGTCAGTCATTATTTTGTATAATATCGTATTGTTGTTGAATCTTTGTCAGGAATTCTCGTTTTTTTGCCTATTTTCGTAGTCTCTTTTTAAAAATTGAACTTTTAAGCACAAACAGAGTTCTTTTAAGAACTAAATTTTCGAGTTTTTGTATTGCATTTCTTGAAATCGTGTGTTGAAAATATGCCGAAGCATTTAAATAGTAGAAGCAAAGGGCTTGTAGCTTCCCTGATAAACAATTTGAACGAGAACGTGACAATAAAGGTCCTTTATTAACAAGATAAGATGTAAATCAATAAATAAATAAATAAATAACCCCATAATAACACTTGAATAATCTTCATAATGGACTAGATTTTGCCAATATGTAATAAGTAAAATAAGCTATAAAACAAATAAATCAATTAATTACTAAAATATTAGATATTAAATTAAAAATAAAACGTAAAACTCGTTTAAAAAGTGATATAATAAATTACAGTTGAGGGTTGGAACTTTTGGTGTTACACAGCAAAATAAAAACACTAAATCACCACAATACACCAAAACACTTTCACTTTTACACTAGACGCGCGTTTCGCTAACCATGTTAGCATCATCAGCAGATGATTATAAACTAAAGTACAATCTACAAATTGAGCGTTTATATACTCGCCCAGTGGGCACCGAGTGGGCGTGGCAAAATCTAGCCAACCGAGTCAGAGCCCACTGAGCGTGACAGTTAGATTGCCGCCACTAGAGTAGTAGGAACAAAGAACTTGAAGGAATTGGACCGTTGTCTTTGTTCATTCTATCTTTACATTTATTAATTCTGATGCTTTCATATGCATCTAATTGCCTGTAATTTAATTTTATTTTTGTATTAAATTGAAACAAAATTGTTTTCAATTTAATAACAACTTTTTTGAACGGGAAGGGAAGGTACAGCAATGGGTAATCCATTGTCTCCATTTTTGGCTAATTTATTCATGAGCAGGTTTGAAGTGGAGGCTAAGAATCAGTTTGAGTATTTTCCAAGAGTATGGTTTAGGTATGTGGATGATATTTTTGTTGTTTTTGACACACATTCAGACACCATAGATAATTTTATTTCTAAGTTAAATAATCGTTTTCCTTCCATTAAATTTACGCATGAAATTGAGAACAACAACAGATTACCATTTCTAGATGTATTAGTTATTAGAAATGCTAATAATTGCCTGAAATTTGATATCTATAGGAAAAATACGACCACACGCAGATATATTCCTAATGAATCACATCATAGTGTTGAACATAAAATGGCTAGTTTAAATTTCTTAGTTCATAGAATACTTAGTTTCCCACTTTCCAACGAAAGATATGAAATAGAAAGAGATTACATTAGGAATGTAGCTGAGTGTAATGGATATTCTCTTTCACTAGTTGATAAATTAATTAGAAAACGTAGGTATAAGGAATTGGACCGTTCTGAAAAATCGACTTTTCAAGTGGAGAAAGATGATACGTCTAAATATTTTTCGATACCGTTTGATAGAGAGTTATCCTCTAAAAAGGAATTTTTAAGAATGTCAATTATAAACTTGTGTATAGTGCTAATAATAAATTACAACAATTATTAGGTAATCCAAAGGATAAAACACCTCCACTGGAAAGGTCGGGTATTTATGAAATTTCTTGTAAAGATTGTAATCAGAAATATGTTGGGCAAACTAGAAGATCAATATTAACTAGATTTAAAAAACATTTAGCTCAGATAAGATATGGTAGACCGGATAAATCTTGCGTTGCCTAACATATTGTTGATAAAGAACATTGTATAGATCTTAATAATTTAAAACTAATTAAACAAGTCTCAAATTACAGGCAATTAGATGCATATGAAAGCATCAGAATTAATAAATGTAAAGATAGTATGAACAGAGACAACGGTCCAATTCCTTCAAGTTCTTTGTTCCTACTACTCTAGTGGCGGAAATCTAACTGTTACGCTCAGTGGGCCCTGACTCGGTTGGCTAGATTTTGCCACGCCCACTCGGTGCCCACTGGGCGAGTATATAAACGCTCAACTTGTAGATTGTACTTTAGTTTATAATAATCTGCCGATGATGCTAACATGGTTAGCGAAACGCGCCTCCAGTGTAAAAGTAACTAAAAGTGTTTTGGTGTATTGTGGTGATTTAGTGTTTTTATTTTGCGATATAATAAATATTATTGTTTGTCAATTTTCAATTAAGATTCATCTCATAAATCCATCACAATCTGGCAGCGCTGTCGCCATCGCTTTTCACTCAAAGTTGATCACGTGCATCGGAAATTATTTTGCGATTACCATACATTAATAGCAGGAATGAGAAAAATATTTGTATAAAATAAGCAATTATTATTAAATAATGTTTCTTTAACATTGCAAAGCCGGTGCACTATGGACGTATCTTGTTAGTTATGACACTTTGTGTGGAAGGCGACGTTATAATGATAGGTGCTATAAAATACACTGAAAAAATATAATTTGCATCTCAATTTCAGTTACTGCCGCTTGGAAAGAACCGTGTCCCGGTTGGGTGGATAATATCAGTGGAATAACAGGAATCTTGATGGAGTGTGGACGTGGAACAATTAGATCTATCATCTGCGATGATCGCTGCAGAATGGAACTCATCCCAGTAGATATAGTGGTCAGCATCCTAATCGCCAGCGCTTGGCACGTAGCAATGGTGAGGTATGGTATGAAATTTAAGATAATTAAATATAATCGCCTTTCATTATTTATGCCACAGATGAAATAGATCCTTTGAGAGTGTTGGACAATGATAAGTTAAAAAATAAAATATCCTCTTGAACATTGTCTCTATTTTGAATTTCAATCACGTACAAGCTACAACAGCCCAGAATATTAAAGTGTTATTTAATTATTAAATCAATTTCTTGGGAGTCTATTATGCTGTACTTTCGGGTCGATCTCAGGGGTGGAGTAAAGCGGGTGTGTTGCCGAAGGAAATATATATTATTTTTCAGAAATCTGCCAAAGGCTTAGCCCGATCCTGTCGTGTTAAGCCACACCTAAAATTCCAATCACACGAGTATTAATTAAAACTTGATTAAGGTTTGCAGAGCTTCAGAATTTTCCATAAAATAGCGAGAAATTTGTTACAAAACCATATAAATTATATATCACTGTAATCACAAAACTTCAATCTATTTCCGTATTGTAACGGAATTTTAAATTATGTCTTTATTTTCGAGAAAATTTTGTCCAAACATAAGTAATATCTTGTTAATGTTTGACCATTAAAATCTTAAAAATAAAAAAGTTATCTAAAAATGTCCTGCCATACGGATTTAATATAATCCTTTATCTTCAATTTCCTTCTTCATTTATGTAAAAATACCTAGGCAGTTTTACATAAAACGTTAAATGGCCGAAAGCTTATTTTGCTACTTTTTCGGACTAGTAAAACGGACTATTAATAAACATTTGTAATAACCTATAGAACATTCTAGGCCAAATACTGCTGAAGTTTACAACTGCACCAGCGGCCAGACTAGTCCGATCACATGGAAAGAATTCCGGAAGTATACTTTAAAACATTCTGTACGATGGCCCAGCAAGTACGTGACATGGTACCCTGGATTTACCTACAGAGTCAACAGAAACATACACTCCATGTGTACCTTCATGTACCACAACGTTCCGTCCTTTGTACTGGACATCTATCTGTATTTCAGCGGACAAAAGACGATGTAAGATATTTACTACCCAGCGGCGTGCGGTGACAATTATAGGTGGGGAAGCGAATCGGTAAAAAACCCTATTTCGAGACATTACTTTTACATTTTCTTAAAAAACTTACCTTTGAAAATTCCGAGGCCAATTCCGTTGTTCGATTAAAATTCTATCGAAAATTGTTAAACAAACAAAAACACCTAAAATTATAATAGTTAAAATACGATATTTTAAATTAATTTTCCGAAGCACTTGACGCGCGATAGGCACCTATTTGTATTTGAGGTCTATTCGTCTATCTCTCTCTCTTTGGTCCGTTTCTCTGAAGAGGGATTAGTGACTATGATGTTCCTGTAGCGGTTTTTATCGTATTGTGCCAGTCCGCTCTGTTTTGAGCCATGCTGACGGTTTCATGAAGGCCTTGGCCGATTAGGTCTTTAGTTTGATCAACCCATCTCTTGGGTGATCTTCCTCGTGGTCGCTTTCCCTCTACCTTTCCCTCGACTATTAGCAGCTGCAGTGAGTCCGTTCTTCTAGCAATGTGACCAATATATGTCAGAAAACATCGGTTTATTTTTTTGAGAGGCTGAGTTGTGAGTTTAGTTCTTGGAGAACTGACTCATTCGTACGATGGGCTGTCCAAGGTATACGTAGCAGACGTCTATATGCCCACATTTCAAAAAGCATCTATTCGCCTGGTATCGCTTTTCTTCAGCGTCCATGTTTCCGCCCCATACGTAGCAATCGGGAAAACAAGCGAGTTCAGCAGTCTTAGTTTGGTGTTCTTAGTGATGGCTGTATCTTTCCATATCTTAGTTAATTTAGTTACGGCTGTTCTAGCCAGCGCAATTCTACGTCTTATTTCGCCTTCGCATGAGCCGCTGTTGTCGATTAGCGATCCCAGATATAAGTATTTATTAACCACCTTAAATCCAGCTATGTTTCCCACGTGAGGTTGGTTGTTGTTTTGTCGGTCCACAATCATGACAGTAGTTTTGTTAGGATTAAGTTTTAGCCCAAATTCTGTACTAGTTTCTTGGAGACGTTGCATAATAAATTCCATTTCTTCCACACTTGATGTTATGATTAGTGTATCGTCGGCATATCTTAGATTATTGATTTTCCTTCCCCCACAGATACTCCACCTTGCCAGTTATCGAGAATATCACGCATTATGTACTCGGTATAAATATTGAACAATAGGGGTGAGAGAACACACCCCTGCCTGACACCCTTCATTGCTTGAAATCTATTTGATGTGACATCATTAATTCTTATAAGTCCGTAATTATGTTGGTATAGTTGTCGGATAAGTAGAATAAGGTGATCAGGAACCCCCATTTCCTTGAGTATTTGCCAAAGTTTTTGCCACTTGACTAGATCGAAGGCCTTAGAATAGTCGATAAAACAGAGATACATTTCTATGTTGAATTCTCGCGCTTTTTCTATTAACTGTCGTACGTTCCCTATCTGTTCTCTGGTACCCTTACCAGGCATAAAGCCAGTTTGTTCTTCTGCAATCTGTGGTAGTAGATATGGCCTGAGTCTGTTGTTAATAATCTGCAGGAGAATTTTGCATGCATGAGGAATTAAAGCAATCATTCGATAGTTATTGCAGTCTGCCAGATTGCCCTTTTTATATAGTGGTATATATAGCGAGCTGCACCAGTCGTCTGGCCAAATTCCCGTCTTCCAAATCAGATTGCATATGAAATGAATAACATCAATTACCGGTTGCCCTATTGACTTTAATATCTCAGCAGCTACACCATCTATACCTGGGGCTTTATTTTTTGAGACGATTTAGGGCGTGTTCAACTTCTGATTTAAGGATCTCCGGTTCATGTTCGAATTGGTTGGGACGATTAATATTATTAGAAGATTCACCATCTTCGTAAAGCTTTGTGCAGTACTTTCGCCAGACTTCAGCAATACCATCCGGATCAGTAATCTTTCGACCATTTTCATCCTGTATAATTTGTGTACGTAGTTGAAACTCACGAGAGAGATATTTTACCTTATTGAATAGCTCTCTAGATTCGTTAGTTGCCGAGTGTCTTTCCAATTCTGTGCAAATCTCGTGGACGTGCGTGTTTTTATCCTGTCTACAGCTGTTATTTCTTTATTGATGTTTCTTAGTTTGTGTTCTTTGTCAAATGTTGTTGATATGACTAGGTTTCTTCTTTTTTCAAGCAAATTGATCGTATTATTCGACATCCAAGTTTTGGACTTTAATTTAGTGTTTCCAGATGTGCAACTTCCTTTAACTATTTCATTTATCCAAGTCCTAGTGTCATTCCACATTTCTTGTACGTCATTTTTTAGTGTGGGCATTTTTACCGATTTCATTGTTTTCATTATTCCTTCTTTAGTAGGTACTGAATACCTTTTCGTTTTGATCAATTTCACTGCCTGTAGTTTACGATGGAACTTTGCCACTAGGATTTTATGATCTGATCCACATACCATGCCAGGTCTTGTCTTAACATTGGTAACAGATGACCGCCATCTACCGCTTATTAAGATATAGTCAATTTGATTTTTCGTTTTTTGATCGGGTGAGGTCCAAGTTGACAATCGTCTAGGGTGTTGTTTGAACATGGTATTTGTTATTGCAAGATTGTTGTCTATTGCAAATTGTATAAGTCTCTCTCCTCTGGCATTTCTGTCTCCAAGTCCGTACATTCCTATAATATTTTGTAGGTTGTTATTGTCAGCTGACTTTCCCACCTTGGAGTTGAAATCACCTAGAATGACTAGGGGTTCCTTTTTGGGTGTGGCTGATACTAGTTGTTCTATTTCTTGATAAATATCCTCAACTTGTTTGTCATCTGCGTCAGTTGTAGGCATATATACCTGAATAAGATGCATGTTAGTAGGTTTTGTACGGATGGTGACTTTAATAATGCGGTCACTAATGGTTTGGTAACTGTCCACGTATTGTACCATTCTTTTGTTAACCACAATGGCTACTCCATTCTGGCTTGCATTGTCTGAGCCCGACACGAAAATCCGATGTTCAGCAGTTGTAAAGTGTCCCTTACCTTTCCAGTGTGTTTCCGACAAACCACATATATCCATCTCTGCTGTCATCAGCTCACGCTCCAATATTTGAAGTTTCCCTACGCTCAGGAGTCCTCGGACATTCCACGTACCAATATTTATCTTGGATTTCTGAGGAAGCTTGTTGTTTTTTCCAGTAACTCGAGCTGCAGACAAAGCCTGGTCACCTACGTTTGTCTGCTCGGTTGCTAATTTCACACTTGATGGCCAGAACCCCGTCAAGCGCCGGTCGCTACTCGGATCGCATGGCAACCATATACCATTGTCACGTAACATCATAGTGTTCATGGGATAATAATCAGGTGGTTTCCCCTTGCCTGCCTGATCCTATGCCGTTGGCTCATACTCGTCATCGTATAGCTCATCCGCCTTTTGAGATCATTTCTGCTCTCAAGGGCAAGAGAGTGCCCTAGTTTGCTAATTCGTCTATCAGCCATTGCAAATTTGTCTATAACATCATCATAAAATTTTGGATTTAATTTATTATAATATTACCTATAAAATCGCAAGCGAACCCGTCTCGATAAATTAAAAGTCGAGGAAGGCGGTCGAAAGATCGCTGCCGTGGCTAGCAACTGTGCGCGATTTTCCGGCTCAAATTTGTCGTTTGCGTTCGACGTCAATAACACCTATATGAAGGAGAGATAAGCGACCGGCGGCGATTTCCAGGCGCGCATCCATGCAGTAAAAGGCAAATTAAATTGACTACGTTTATGTAAGGTTTCAAATAAATAATTTTAACAAATTGAATTAATCTTTTGTTATAAAATAACAGTATTATTAACGTTTAACTATTTATTTTTTTATCTTTATAAAGTTTAGGGAAGCGGTGCTTCCCCCGCTTCCATGGACCGCACGCCGCTGCTTTTTACGATTCCAGTATTTGTACTTTTTTTTTCAGGATGCTCAAATTGGCAAAAAAGTTTAACCAGGCCCTAAAAGAAGGCAGTTTTTTCTCGACAAACGAATGGGAGTTTAAAGATGATTCCGTGGTGAAATTGGTAGAATGCGTAAAAGGTGCAGGTGACGGAGAATGTTTTGAAGTAGATTTTACGCCAGAAAACGGATTCGACTGGGACGACTACATCGCAGACTTTCTCAAAGGCATCCGTCAATTCGTTCTCAAAGATGACATAGCTAGTTTAGACCAAGCCAAGTCCAAATTAAACAGGTACATTAATAGCTTCGTTTGCAGAATGAATCAGCAGTCAGAAATAGTTTAGACTACGTTAGGTTGCTGGGGTTTGGGATCCTGTTTGGTCCCTCACTCGGAGGCCTTAGCGAGACCTCTGTACAGGGTGGCGCCTCTCATACGCCGCGAAGGATGCTCCAAGGAGAACGACAGTTTGTATTGAAATGAAATTTTGTGAGCATATGTAGGTTAATTTAGAGCACTTTTTAAAAATATAGAGAGTTCTACAGAGTATTCTCCAAAAAAGTTACATATGAAAGTTCTGTTTTTTGTAATGGAACACTCTATACAGGGTTGTTCACCACATACGACACGGAGTATTGTAGCTAAACGATTTGATTTTTACAAATTGTAAGTTTTGGGTTCGTTGGAGGACTATTAGAGCTACAATTTGAAAATATTTTTACAAGACACAGAGTTTCCCAAATAAGTAAAAAACATTATAGTTGTATTTTTTTAAATGGAACACCCTGTATATTATTATATTTTTAGATTCTACGATTAAAATAAAGGTAAACTTGATTAAGGTTTATCACACTTAAACCTTGCCGTATTTGAAATATTTTCAATTTTATGAAATTGCACTAAAAATTTTAAGGCTACATTTCTCCAAGGGTATCGAAGTTTTTAATACTAAATAATTACTGAAGTTTATTTATTGATCAGATATTGTGTCGCAATAATAAACAAAATACTACCTTATACAGGGTGTCTATAAATTTATATTAAATAATTACTAGCTTTAAACGGCAATAACTTGTTTAATTTAAATGGAACACCCTGTATATTTTACGAGAATCAGATGCACAACTCAAATGTCTATGAAATTGTATTATACCATTTATTACCTATCTCTTCAAGTTTTCGTAGAAGTAGCATTTTCTTATAATTTAGACCTCATATATCACTATACCCATGGAATATTGACATTTTAGATTATTTTTAAAAATGTAACAAATTTTCAAATAGTACCATATACTAATATTATCGATCTAATTCGTTTATTTCATTAAAAAATAAGAAAAACTCTTTACATATTTGTGAAATAGCACCAAATTAATATGATCCCAGTATTTAATCTACATTAATTGACTGTTTACGTTGACTAGCAATAATTGCTCCAAATACTAAAAAAAATAGTTTTGTATATGTAATGGACAGTGTGGTACAAAGTAACACCTTATAAATTTTATTTCATTTTTTGACGAATGCTTGTTTATAACAGAGACGTTCATTTTCATACCTTATAATTGTATTGATTTCTGAGTCAAATCCACATTTATTTAGAATAATTTATTAATTAAAACAATTAAGTATGTCATTAACTAATTGTTAGGCGGAAATAATAGGCGGAGTATATTAATAATTAGTAATAATTAGTATACCCTTTTACAAAGATTTAAATAATTTTCTTTTTGTAAACAAATGGGCTTACAATATTATTATTTTTACCACCTGTATATTTTGTACATATGTTGCTTTAAAAAAAATCTAAAATGTCAATATTCCATGGGTAAAGTGATAAATGAGGTCTAAATAATAAGAAAATGCATTTTCTACGAAAACTTAAAGATATAGGTAAAAAATGGTATAATACAATTTGATAGACAATTAAATTGTGCATCTGATTCACGTAAAATATACAGAGTGTTCCATTTAAATTAAACAAGTTATTGTCTTTGAATGCTAGTAATTATTTAACATAATTTTTTGAATACTCTGTATAAGGTAGTATAATTTTTATTATTGCAACATAATATCTGATCAATAAATAATCTTTAGTAAATATTTAGTATTAAAACCTTTAATACCCTTGAAGAAATGCAGCCTTAAATTTTTTACTGCAATTTCACAAAATTAAAAATATTTCAAAAACGGTAAGGTTTAAGTGCAATAAACCTTAATCAAATTTACCTTTATTTCAGTCGTAGAATCTAAAAATAGAATAATATACAGGGTGTTCCATTTAAAAAACTACAACTATAATATTTTTTACTTATTTGGGACACTCTGTATCTTGCAAAATTATTTTTAAATTGTAGCTCTAACCGTCCTTCAATGAACCCAAAACTTACAATTTGTAAAAATCTACAATACTCCGTGTCGTATGTGGTGAACAACCCTGTATATTAATTCGGATTCTGGGAGAAAAATAAAGGTAAGTTTTATAAGAGATAATAATTACTAAAATGTAAGGTTTTTGACATATTTAACATTTTCTAGAAATAAAGAACAATTTTTAAATTACAGTAAAAGCTACCTATATTGGAATTTACCCGGTATAGCCTAATGCGTAGTTAAATTAACTATTGTACATTACATCAAATTAAAACTTGATTCAAAAAGTTATACAGGGTGAGACAAAATTAATATTGAACATTGGTCACCTTTAAAAGCATGTTACTCGTTTATTTTAAATGGAACATCCAGTATATTATTCCGATATTCAATGGAGAGTTCATGTCTCTTCAAAATACTATTAAGGTTGCCTACCCCTCAAACAAAGATTTTCCTAGATATTTTCATTTTTCATTTACATGATTTGTTCTGAGTAGATTTTTATTACTTGATAAAATCTAGGTGGCTGTGATATATCTGACGTTGTAGAATGTAGAATGTTTAGGAGGGGAGTTAATCACCGCGACCTTATAGATCTATTGTGTGTTCCCCTTTCTTGAGTTATAACGAGTTATAGATCATCATACAGTCTCAGGGCTTTAAGAAAAGCCAGTATCTGAGACGGCTCCACAGAGGCCAGCTCTCCATCCTCGACATCAGACGTACCAAGGTTCATGGCACGAATGGTCGTCGTCTCGGCGCACTCAGTGATAAGGTGTTCTGGTGTTTCTCCATTTTCCCCACAAAATCTGCATTCGCTGTTGTTTCTCAGTTTCAGCGTACTGAGGTGTTCGTTGAGGAGACAGTGTCCTGTTAGAAACCCCGTGACAATCCGAAGATTGTTTTTACTTAAATCAAGGAAAACCTTTGATTTTTCTCGGTCATAAGTTCTAAGGAACTTTTTCGAGTGTCTTAGACCGTTGGAGGACACCCATTCCAAGTTACGGATGGAGTCTTCCAGATTCTTCAGTTCCGCTTTCAGTTGGTTCCCGTTTGGAAAACAGAACGGTTCTGGTCCAGTTAGTGGAGTGTTCGCTCCTTTTCTAGCTAGATCATTTGCTTTTTCATTGCCTTCTATCCCTTGGTGAGCAGGCACCCAGAGTAGGAGGACTTTATTTTCTTTGCCTAATTTGTTGAGCTTCTCCAGGCATTCTTTGACCAACTTCGAATTGATGGAGTTGATCGCGTTAAGTGCTGCTTGACTATCGGATAGGATGGCAATTTCCTGTTTTCGATAGTTCCTATCTAAGATAAATTGTACGCATCTTTCGATAGCGCAAATTTCTGCCTGAAGGATACTGGGGTAGGTGCCCATTGGTTCGGAGTATTCAGTTTTCGGCCCAAATACTCCTATCCCTGTCCCTGCTTTGGTTTTGGAAGCATCCGTATAACACATGATGATATGGTCTTTTATATGCTGAGTAAGCGTCTCTTTCTTCCAATCCTTTTTATTACTCAATACTACAGTGAGGTGTTTCTCAAAGTTGTAAATTCTTGGTATGTCATCCACTGGAAGTTGGAGAAGTGGAATTTTCTTTTTGAGGGTGTTCCAAGCCCCTGACCTGAAAATTCTCCCAGTACTGTCTCCGTCAGTAACCATTCTAATCATTGTCGCATTGGCATAACTACCGACGACAATGTGCAGTGGTGTTAGGTCTAGAATGACCTCCATTGCTGCTGTTGGACATGTTCTCATAGCACCTGTGATGCAGATACATGCCAGTCTCTGTACTTTGCACAGGTTTTGCCTTGCTGTACGTTGCTCTAGTTTTGTATACCAAGCAACTGCTCCATAAGTAATCATGGGTCTTACTATCATGGTATACTTACATCCAGCGCAAAATGCTAGACTTATTTCCCGCCAGTCTTCTGCATATCATGAGAACCTTAGAGAGCCATATCTGACGTTACTTCAACAGCTGTCTAATTAGTCCAACTTTAACAACTAGTTATCATTTTGTGTCAGTTAAAACAAAAAAATTCTCAGAAATATGCCGACAATGCAAACTTATCCTACATCAGAAAGAATTGATATGATTCTATTAGTTGGCGAATGCAGTGTGCATTCATATCCATTATTCATGGATATGTTAAAGACAGTGTTCAAAAAACTCGACCAACTATTGTCGACAACATGAGAGAAGTGGTTGTAGCTGCTTTTCGAGGTGAAACTCCACATATTATGTTTTTTAAAATGAAAAGATCCTTTTGAAAAGACGATCATTTTATGCAGTTAATAAGAAAGGAAGCATTTTGAGCACTTGATTTCATTTAGCTAATTTTTGTGACATAATTATAGGTTTATTTCTAGTTTTAATTGTGTAATAATTAAAATATGTTTTAAACGTGTATCTTTTTATTAGCGTTGAGTATTTTACTCTACGATCTTTAATTTTTGTTAAATTAACAAAAGGTATATCACAGCCACCCTAGACTTTTTCAAATAATAAAGGTCTACTGAAGCAAAATCGTAAAAATTAAAATATATAGGAAAATCTTTGTCTGAGAGGTAAGCAACCTTAATAATATTTTGAAGATATACAGGGTGTTTCAAAACAAATGCGAAAAACTTCAGGGGGTGATTCCTTGTTCAAAATAAAGGGTAGTTTGCTTTATAAACGTTGGGTCAAAAGTCAACCATTAGGGAGATATCGCGGTACAAAGATGGCGGAAAAATAATGTTTTTATTTTTTATCTTGAAAACGATAAGAGATAGAATAATGAAATTTTACGGAATCATTACTGTTATGAAAACACACTTTCTGGTAATTTTTTCACTTTTTTAAAATGAGTGGAAGGGGTTGAAATAAACTACCCCTATCATTCCTGTTAATGAAATTTAAAGAAAAATCTTATGAAACACATGCAAAAAAATTAATTTTGATAGTTTAGTTTATTTAGAAACTTTTTTATCTCTTGTGTTTTTTTGATAAAACTCACCGATTTGAAATTAAAAAATAAAATGTAAAGCATTACATGTCAGGACAAAAAACATTTTTAGATAAAGAATCTAGTGGGCAGCTGTAATTTTTTTAGAAAAAAATCTAGTCGGCCGCTGTCACTTTTTAGGATGTTTCTAATATTGTTTTATTTGACATTACCCTACTGCAATACGTTAATATATATACTGTACTGTAATAATTAATAATATTATCTAGATTATTATTATTATCATTATTATCACTAGATTAATATTAAAAATATTTTTAGTCCTGACATGTAATACTTTACATTTAATTTTTTAATTTCAAATCGGTGAGTTTTATAAAAAAAATACAAGAGATAAAAAAGTTTCTAAACAAACTAAACTATCCAAATTAATTTTTTTGCATGTGTTTGATAAGATTTTTCTTTAAATTTCGTTAACAAGAATGATAGGGGTAGTTTATTTCAACTCCTTCCACTCATTTTAAAAAGTGAAAAAATTACCAGGAAAGTGTGTTTTCATAACAATGCTGACTTCCATAAAATTTCATTAGTCTCTTTCGTTTTCAAGATAAAAAATAAGAACATTATTTTTCCGCCATCTTTGTACCGCGATATCTCCCTAATGGTTGACTTTTGACCCAACGTTTATGAAGCAAGCTACCCTTTATTTTGAACAAGGAATCACCCCCTGAAGTTTTTCGCATTTGTTTTGAAACACCCTGTATAAATTCCCCATTGAACAACGGAATAATATACTGGATGTGTCATTTAAAATAAAGGAGTAACTTGCTTTTAAAAGTGACTAATGTTCCATATTAATTTCGTCTCACCCTGTATAACTTTTCGGGTCAAATTTCAATTTGGTTTAACATACAATGGTTACTGTAATTAAATATCAGGCTATAGAAGGTCAACCAAAATTTAGGTAGCTGTTATCGAAATTTAAAATTTACTCTTCATTTTCACCAAATCTGAAATATGTCAAAATCCTTAGATTTCAGGTATATGCTTCTTTAATAAAACTCCCCTTTATTTTTTTCCTAGAATCCGAAAATCAATTAATATATAGGGTGTTCATTAGAAAAAATACAATCTTTTTTGGTATATCCTGTATAATTCTACAGGGTTGTTCACCACATACGACTCGGAGTATTGTAGCTAAACGATTAGATTTTTACAAATTGTAAGTTTTGGGTTCGTTGAAGGACTATTAGAGCTACAATTTAAAAATATTTTTACCAGATACAGAGTGTCCAAAATAAATAAAAAATATCAAAGTTGTATTTTTTTAAATGGAACACCCTGTATATTATTACATTTTTAGTTTCTACGATTAAAATAAAGGTAAATTTGATTAAGGTTTATTACATTTAAACCTTACCGTTTTTGAAATATTTTCAATTTTGTGAAATTGCAACAAAAATTTTAAGGCTTCATTTCTCCAAGGGTATCAAAGTTTTTAATACTAAATATTTACTGAAATTTATTTATTGATCAGTTATTACGTTGCAATAATAAAAATAATACTACCTCATACAGAGTGTCTAAAAATTTATTTTATATAATTTCTAGCTTTAAACGGCAATAACTTGTTTAATTTAAATAGAACGCCCTGTATATTTTAGGAGAATCAGATGCACAATTTAATTGTCTATCAAATTGTGTTATACCATTTCTTACCTATCCCTTCAAGTTTTGCATTTTCTTATAATTTAGACCTCATTTATCAATATACCTATGGAATATTGACATTTTAGATTGTTTTTAAAGCAACATATGTACAAAACTTACAGGCTAGTAATATTATCGTTTTTAGCAAAACGATAATATTACCAGCCCATTTGTATGCAAGAAGAAAACTATTTAAATCTTTATAGAAGAGTATACCATTAATTAAATATATCACCATTATTTCCGCCCAAATACTGATTAATTACATACTTAATTGTGTTCGTTAATAAATTATTCTGAATAAATGTGAATTTGAATCAGAAATGATTATAATAATAAGTTATGAAAATGAACGTCTCTGTTGTTATAAATAAGCATTTGTGAAAAAATTACCATACTGTCTAATACACATACAAAATTCAGTTTTTTAGTATTTGGAGCAATTATTATTAGTCAACGCAAACAGTCAATTAATGTAGTTTGAATACTGGAATCATATTAAATGGTCCTCTTTAACAAATATTTAAACAGTTTTTTTTATTTTTTAATGAAATAAACGAATTATATCGACAATATTAGTATCTGTACTCTTTAAAAATTTGATACATCTTTAAAAATAAGCTAAAATGTCAGTATTCCATGGGTATATTGATAAATGAGTTCTAAATTACAACAAAATGCATTTTCTATTGAAACTTGAAGAGATAGGTAAAAATGGCGTAATACAATTTGATAGACAATTAAATTATGCATCTGATTCTCATGAAATATACAGGGTGCTCCATTTAAATTAAACAAGTTATTGCCGTTTAAAGCTAGTAATTATTTAAAATAAATTTTTAGACACTCTGTATAAGGTAGTATAATTTTTATTATTGCAAGACAAAATTCAGTAAATATAAATACTGGAGTACAATATTTGGTTTTAAAAACTTAAATACGCTTAGAGAAATGAAGCATTAAAATTATTACTGTATTTTGACAAAAACCAAAATATTTCAAAAACAGTAAGGTTTAAGTGTGATAAACCTTAATCAAAATTACCTTTATTTTAATCGTAGAAATTAAAAATGTAATAATATACAAGGTGTTCCATTTAAAAAAATACAACTTTGATATTTTTTATTTATTTGGGACACTCTCTATCTTGTAAAAATATTTTTAAATTGTAGCTCTAATAGTCCTTCAACGAACCCAAAACTTACAATTCGTAAAAATCTAATCGTTTAGCTACAATACTCCGTGTCGTATGTGGTGAACAACCCTGTATATATATTTTTGTAAAATGCTTTCTGTTAACCTACATATTATTATGCTGCCCAAATTTAATTTCCATATAAACTACCGTTCTCCTTGGAACTTCCGCGGCGTATGAGGGGCGCCACCCTATACTTATGTAAAAGTTGTTATTTAAATGAACTCTCCTATATATCTCTTTTGATTTTTTTTATTAACAATTACACTGAAATTTGATAACATACTTAATATTTTTTTATATTATATTTTTCAGATTATTTTGGTTCCAGAAGATACTACAAATGGTATTATTATACGTAGTTTATAAAGTGATAGGATTATATTTTTAAATCGATTTTATACAACCATTTTTATGTACTTACTATTATTTATTTATTTCAAATACTTGAAAATTACATAGGTATATGTAATTTATATTTTTTATGTATATTTTTAACTGTTTTACTGACAGATAGTGTAATTGTGGGATTGCAATATTATCTAAATATTATAATTATTATATATTTTTTAAAACCGTGTTTAATTTTCTATGGTATCTCTATTATAGAGTAGCCGCATATAAAGAAGAAGCCTGACCTGTCAATAATCTTAAAAAGATTTTCTTTGATTTAAGTAAGAACAATCTTCGGATTGTCTCGGGGTTTTTAGTTGGACACTGTCTCCTCAATGAATACCTCAGTAGAATAAAGCTAAGAAATAATGGAGAATGCATAATCTGTGGGGAAAATGGGGAAACACCAGACCACCTCGTCACATTCGTGTCATAAATTTTGGTACGATTGATACGGATTGATATCGTTGACAACGTGGCACCTTCTTTAGGTGTGGCTACTTTACAGTACGTCTGTCCGTTCTATAGCTACGGGGTATCCGTGAGAGGGGAAACGATATTCTCTCGATGTTTTTCGTAAAAAATTAGACGACGCGTCCCATCAATAAAAATTCGACAAATTTGCAAGTAGCCAATAAAATGAGTGGGCGGAGCGATTTGGGGTGACGTACTCGTCAAGTCGACGTATAAAATATATTGCTCTTTATTTAAATGTTTTTTGTCCGCATTCCTTTCATAGACACAGATCCAGCAGACGTACTGTAAACTATGTTAGTCTGCTTAAAAAATAAAGCTCAACTATAGTGTACAGGGTGGGTCAAATTGAACGCTTTTAAAGGGAAACACCCTTTTCTACCGGGTGCGTCTCAAAAGTGGGTCACCCTTATAACTTTTTTATTTTTTCAGATAAATAAACGAGATTTGGTATGTTAGTATATGACATAAATTAGGATTGATTGACATATTCAATTGTTTTCGGTCACTTCCTGTTTCACCGGAAATTACTACAACTTTTGATTTTTAAATAGCAACCTCGGTTGTTCTTTACTTTATACGATAGAAAATGACATTCTGAATAGAATGACATATCATATGTCAACTTTTGACATTCTCGCTTAAAACAAAATTGAATTTTAAAATTCAATCTAGAGTGCCACGAAGGAGCACTTGGAAAAATAGATTTGATCGTCTAATGTTTTTAGTGTCTCATCCTGGCCAGTTAGAAAATACTCAAATAGTATTTTTAATCATATCTCATTTTTTTTTTCAAATGGAACGAGGGTGGTTCATTAGGATATTTGGAAAAGGCATTTTTTTACGAATAATTTGGTACCACACACTTGGTATTTCGAGTCAAATTTTGGTTACGAACCGCAAGTTATAGATAATTTCAAATAAACCATATGCGAAAATGTCAAAAGTTGACATATGAAATGTCATTCTATTTAGAGTGTTATTTTCTATCGAATAAAGTAAAAAAATACCGAGGGTGCCATTTAAAAATCAAAAGTTGTACTCATTTCCGGTGAAACAGGAAGTGACCGAAAACAATTGAATACGTCAATCAATCCTAATTTATGTCATATACGAAGATACCAAATCTCGTTTTTTTATCTGAAAAAATAAAAAAGTTATAGGGGTAAGCCACTTTTGAGACGCACCCGGTATAGGAGATAGACGAAAACTAATGTCGGTGTCTGGAGCTCAATTTTTATCAAAAACTAAACTTTTAGGATTTTTTTTTTAGTTTTTATAGTTAAAATAAAATTAATATTACAAGTTGGTTCTCAAAATTTTAGGAATTTTTTTTTTTTTTGGAAATTTTCGAAGTAAAATAACTCCGTTATTTTGGACTTATGTATGTGAAAAACGATAAAGAGAAAATATGTTTATTTCGAGATCTACCACCTCTTAAAATACTTGCACTTATTTCTAGGACACCTTGTATAACAATCTTTTCTTTACTGGTGTTGAACCCCAAACGTTTGAAGTTATTTACCTGCAAATTAACTAAATATTGACATAATTTATTCGTGATAACTGTCAGCGTTGACAGTTTGAACTTCTCATGATCGATTCATGTTCTCGATCTTATATTTGTTTCGCTAAATTGTTAATAGATCATGGACGAACCAAACAGGAAGCGGAAAAGTAACGAAGACAGAAATGAATCGGATAAAAAACGGGGAAAAGTTGACTTGGAAGTATCGAAAACTAGCGAAACTTCAGCTAACTTAACGACTAGTTCGAATGAAACTTGCCCCATATGTTTGAGCTCCGTTCACAAAAGGCTGTTGGGGATACCGAAAAATTGCAGGCATCGTTTCTGTCTTTACTGTATCAGAAAGTGGTCGAGGAAGAAGAATACTTGTCCGGTTTGTAGAAAAAAATACAGCTCGATTATAGGTAAGTAAATCTTATAAAGAATGTATTGAGTTTTCGTGCTAGCTTATGTTTTGGTAGTAGAAATGTATAAGAAAGGAAACCCACAAAAGTGGTTCTCAAGTGGTTCCCATTCAGTGGATCTCAAAATATTAGCAAAAATCATTTACTCGTTATTTTGGACTTATTTGAAAAACGGCACAGAGAAAATACAGTAATCGCAAAACATTTTCCGATGCACGTCATCAATCATATCGACATTGACACTAAAGTCTATAAGCTGTATAATTTAAGATAAATACCGAGTAGTGTTGCACAAGAGTCTTGAAAAAGTCTTTCAAGACCAAGACTTGAATTTCAAGACAAGACAAGAAATTGATTTTCAAGACGAGAATTCTTGTCGTGTGCAACACTACTACCGAGCACTCCAAGCAGCTATTTATTTTACTTTATAGAGCAAATGATTGTAACAGATATTTTATTTAGATTAAAGCTGCCAAAATTAGTTTTAACCGAATTTTATTATCGCTATGTTGGTCACACTGCGCCGTGTTCAGCAACGTTTTCGTTTATTATTTGACAATTTATCCTAATGTCAATCTAGTTTCTATAATATCGTGTTGTTGTTGAATCTTTGTGAGTAATTCTCGTTTTTTGCCTATTTTCATAGTCCTTATTTAAGAATTGTACTTTTAAGCACAAAGAGTTATTTTAAGAACTAAATTTTCGAGTTTTTGTATTACATTTCTTGAAATTATGTGTTGAAAACATGCCGAAACATTTAAATAGTTGAAGCAAAGAGCTTGTAGCTTTCCTGATAAACTATTTTGAAAGAGAATGTAACAATAAAGGTCCTTTATTATACTCTTGACTGTAGTCAGAGAAATTTGACTAATAAGCCCATATTATACCACTTTCAAAGTTATATCTACGTTAGATTTTATTAAATTCTGTTATTATTAGTTTGTGCATTAATAACACCCTCTTGTTATTACCACTTATGGCGTTGTAAGATGTACATCAATAAATAAATAACCCATAATAATCTTCATAATGGACTAGTTTTTACCAATATGTAATAAGTAAAATAAGCTATAAAGCAAATAAATCAATTAATTATTAAAATATTAGTTATTCAATTAAAAATAAAACGTACTTAAAAATGTTAAAAAAAATGATATAAGTATATTGTTTGTCAATTATTTTAAATTAGGATTCATCTCATAAATCCATCACAATCTGGCAGCGCTGTCGCCATCGCTTGTCGCTCGAAGTTGATCACGTGCATCGGAAATTGTTTTGCGATTACTGTATGTTTCTTTTATCGAGATCTACACGCTCTGAAAATATTTGCACTTATTTAAGACTCACCCTGTATATTAAACTGTATTATAGTCAGAAGCCGATATACAAGACGAAGAGTGAGACAGCTTCCCATAAGTAAGAAGGCAGGTGCCACGGAGGATTCCAGATACACGGCGTTTGTGGAAATGATTTCCAGGGCGTTAGTGAATTTAGTAGGCAATCTGTTCGTGGCGACACATTGATAAATTTTGTATAATATTCGTATTAGGACACAAGGAAATAAAAATATAAAATTATCTCCAAAATTGTATTATTTTTATTATATTATTATTTATATAGTTCATACACCACCCCCTACAGTTAAGGCCTTTCAACATGATATGCTCAAGGCAAATATGGCGGCGAAGGCAGTGCATTTTTAAATTGTTTACCTTTAACCTGAAAAGCCGGTAGTGGTTTCTCGTTCCGATTGCATACCAGAAATAATTAATTATCTCTAGTTTGTTGTGCTTCTGCAACACGTTTGTTTAGTTCTTAGTGTTCAGTGCATGGTGTGATCAGAAAATTGTGATAAAATAAGAGTGTAATAAAAATCCAAACCAGACATTCCACATAGGGAACTTCAAACTTTTGTGCTTGTACTCTTGTATTATTAATTATTTTAAGGTAAGAACTAGAAGTATTTATCAAGATATTACACCTACATGAGTAAACAGCCTTCACCGCCAGTCTGCATAGTACTTTAGAATGGTTACTTACAATAATCAAAAGATAGGTATTAAAGGGTTAACATTTTATTGTAGCATGCCGTTTATATACATACGTTTTACATGCTCTGTTCCAAATTGTCACGGGAATTATAGAGGGGGTCCCAAGGTTTCTGCTTTTATATTCCCCAAAAATGACGAGCTTCGTAAAAAATGGTTGACAGCTATTAAAAGAGATAATTTCACTCCTACTAGTAGTTCTCGGGTAAGAAGTGCATTAAATATGCCTCAAAAAGGCCAAAGGCCAAAGCCTGTTACTCTAGTGAGGATGTAGTTGTGGCTACTGCTTACAGTGCTTACACTTACCTCACTATAAGTAAAATATTGGAAGAATCAAGCTTTTTACATCAAAAAGATCACAGAAAGATATCGACAACATTGACGTTTGAAAATATATGGCCTGGATGTAAGTCTTTTTAAGCCAAAATTGCCCCTTACATATATCAGAATTTATTATTAAATCCATCTTGTTCAGAATATCTAATATTTTATTGAAGAACTATGCAAAAACAGTAATGACGTCTTTACCACAAAGACAATGCCCTATGTAAAGAAAACTAAGCTAAGCGTAACTTTTAGATACTTACGAACCCCCAAAAAAGTATTTAGTTTTTTTTTTCTATATAAAATCTTGAAACACATTTTATATTTTTTAGTTATCCTCACCTATTATAGTTTAAATTTATTCCCATTTGTGTAACGCTGCAAAACATAGAAAAAATATTCCATATTTTTTATCCAAGCCAGTGTAGTTTATGATTCCAAGGGCATTTACCAAGGCTTTTACTAAGACAAGTAACTTCCTATACTGTCCATAATAGTATATATTTATCAAACGTTCAGTAAATTCTTAACTATGGTAGGTAAGTGGTTGCAATTGAATATTTAGTTTATATTGCTATTTTCTGTCATATATTTCTGGTAATTCTTTTTCCGATGATTTTGAACACCCTATATATGCTACCTCAAGTTTGAATATATTAACACTACCTATTTTCTGAGCAGATCTTTTTATAAAAAGTATCCAACTGATGTTTTCATAAAAGTAATAATACAAAAAATTCCATACTTATGTGGGAAATTTTAGACTCCCTGTATATTAAAAAAACAGTAAAATATTACTATTATTATTATTATCTAACCTGACATTTGTGTGAAAAATGTCTTTTTGGAATATACATAAAACAGCGTTTAAAATACACGCCAAATAAAGCACTTCTATCTCCGCCATATTGGAAAAGGTTGCATGGCCTTTAGTGGAGGGGGTGGTGGTTCATACGAATTAAACTAAGTCACGTGATTAAATTTGACCGGCACAGCGATGCCCACTTTGCATATTGTTTTTTAATCAAAATATATTAGGAAACAAAAATAAATTAATTATAAATATAAACAGTTATTATTTACATCAACAAGCCCCATCTCCTTAACAGCACTTAAGGGACATCTTTACTGCCGCTTTTCCGTTCAAAATATTCTAATAAGGTTCCGATAGTATTTTCGCAATGGCTATTAAACTATCTTGTACGCACTTAACACTTCGCACGAAAAGAGATTCTAAAAAGAACAATATGTTCAACTGCAAAGTCTGCCAGTAAAAATGTTTAAGCTTAAAGTATCACAACACAACTCGTTTAAACCAAAAACTCGTAATACAAAACTAAACCGTTAAAACGAACGACAATGTGAGGAAATAAATAAATACATGTGGAAGGTTGAATTTAAAAATCGCGCCCTCGATGACGTCACTAAAAGTTTAATTGGTATCGCTTATACCTACGAAAATTCAGCTTTAGGGAATTTTGTTTCACAAGGCACCTTAATTGCCCTGGACTATATGTGATCATATGAATAACACAAATGATACAATTTTTATAATACGTTTTATTTTTTCAGTATACTTAAACTTACATATTTATACAGATTGTTTCATTCCTAACTTCAATAGTCATTAACTTAGATATTAGCCAAAATATACAAATTTTTAGTATTTTACCCGCTCTATATAGATATATAAATTATAAGACTAAATTAAAAATATCATCTACATACTATAAGTAAGAGAGACTAATTTTAGGCTGCAGAAAAAAAATGTCCTTTTATTTATTCAATAGTAATAATACTGATCTATCTCTTTTTACAAAATAAATATGAAAAAAAATGAACAAGGATATATAAATAGTTATGGCACAAAACCTTCAAGATGTCGTTCACATTTTGAGCAATGTTTTGCGTCAAATCATTTATATATCGCCCTTTCATTTTGTAACAATCACAATTAGTACTGTAAAAATAATTACAAAATATATGTTTATCAAAAATAAATTAATATTTGGAGAAGCAGCCGCTGGGTACTATTGTAAAATAAAATTACTAATATAAGATTCGAATTGTCTGGCAAAAAATATTCATAATTATGTATGCAATGAAATAAACATAAATAAAATTTAAGAAATGGAATGTAACATAGTAAGTATTTTACACAAAAGTTATTCTGCAAGTTGGCAATACTGTCCAGAAGTTACACCCATTTAGCATCGTATAATGTTCTTTAGACTAGAATATTTTATTTAATTTTTGTTCAGCGATCCTTCAACTTAACGGTTTGAATAAAAAGATTAAGGAAGCATATAAAAAAAACTTATGCGCAATGGGGACCAAAAATGGCCGACTTAAATTTCCGGTTTATCAGTGTCGTTCTAATTTTATTCAAAACATGTAAAAATGTGACGTAGGGTAGACTCAATTTATTTTACGTTGTCAATCTTTGAATAAGAAGACTAAGGAAGGAGCATATCAAAAATCTTAGGTACACCGCGATGGGCCTCAAATATGGCCGACTTAAATTCCGGTTTATCAGTGTCGTTCTAATTTTATTTAAAAAAATGTAAAACTATGATGTAGGGTAGACGTGGGGTAGACTCAATAATTTGTTGTTTTATTTTACGTTGTGAATAAATGTTGGTAGTTATTAAAATTGTTATAAAAATATATAATTCTAATAAAAATAGATAAGTTATAATAAGTATTTATTAACACAAACATCCGATACGCTACTGAAGCAGGTAAGTCAAATTAACGTATCTAAATTCTTTGACATCTAATCTTTGACAAGTAATAAATAAAAGCTAAAAATGTAAGAAAAATATATAATTTAGTTAATTTAAGTAAATTTCATAAATAATCGGTTTACTACACGTATGTATATTATATAGTCACTTACTAGCGAAAAGTTGTTCCATTATTTCACTCAATTTTTGCCGAGATCTACCGCACGCTACAAAACCAACTATTTTAGAGTATTTTTCGATAAATCGCGATAGTGTCACTGTTAATTTAAGTTCTGCCACAATTTCCATCTAGATTTACTACCTTTATACAACTATCAGTAGTAGAATAAATAATAAATAACATAAAATAAGCTCCGTAAAGAATGACAAATCCACAAAATTTCAAATCAAATTCAAATGTGTCAAATGAATAGTCAAACAGAACTGTCAAGGATCCCCACCCTAGAGAGCTTTTATGGTGGCTTTTCCGCCCACCATGCATGAATACATGGATAGCATTATGCTCCTTCCTTAGTCTTCTTATTCAAAGTTGTCAATAAACGTTGGTAGTATTTAAAATTGTTATAAAAATATATAATTGTAATAAAAATAGATGAGTTATAGTATTATATAATATCACAAACATCTGAGACGCTACTGAAGCAGGTTAAGTGAAATTGACGTATCTAAATTCTTTGACAAGTAGTAAATAAAAGCAAAAGTGCAAGAAAAAATACACAATTAGTTAATTTTAAGTGAATTTCATAAATGATCGGTTTACTACACGTATGTATATTTACAGGGTTGTTCACCACATACGACACGGAGTATTGTAGCTAAACGATTAGATTTTCACAAATTGTAAGTTTTGGGTTCGTTGAAGGACTATTAGAGGTACAATTTAAAAATAATGTTTTTTTAAGATACAGAGTGTCCCAAATAAGTAAAATATATGTTATCGCTGCCCTGATCGTGATCGTGATCGCGACCGTGATCGCACCAGTATGCGTGTAGCTTATACTCCTTCCTGAATCGTTTTATTCAAAGTTATTAATTGATATAGGGTTATAACTTTATTGACGGACATTGCTCGCTGTCAAAATTTGCGTTTCATAATAAATTGAAGGATAATTGTCATTGTCATTTGATTGAGGTTATATTTTATTGGCGGACATCGATCAAAGTCACAATTAAAATTTGATAGCTTTGTCAATTTTTAATTTGGAATTCAATTTTTTTATCAGTTAAAAATATAAATACGTTTATTACTTACTCTACGCTAAAAAAGAGACTCTGGTAAAACTCTTTTGCCCGTGGATGCCGTATATACAGTAAGTAAACACAATTTAATTGACTTTTTAAATAATACACCCTGTTGCTGATGCTTTGAAAATAGGCGTTTTTTAGACAGTTTAAGAAATACCAGTATATTTAATTATTTTAGACATCTTGAACTTCTAGAGTATTAAAGTGTATTTT